TAAGTTCCACACATTTTATGTGGTGATTGACATTTTTATCCCCTTTTATATCAATACAAGTATGATATCAAACTATAGAATTCAATATCAGTCAGGCTATATAATTCAAAACAAGAAACTTTTCAAAGTTCAAGAATAGTTGTGTTACTGTATGGATGGATGGATGTAAGAAAAGAAGAGGGAACATTTTGTTCCTCATCTGGATACTCAGACTGACTCTCTGAATAGAAAGACAGCAAGTATGTGCAGTTATTTGCTGTGATTTAATTTTTGAAATACAAAGAGAGGAGTCCTTGATAGTTTCTATAAACGTCTCTCTATGCAAGAGACAAAAAGCACAGTGCCAGAGTTTATCTGCTCAGACAGCAGTAACATTGGCCCGCAGCGGGCCCTGCTGACACAGCATGTATTCACACAAGACTAATGAGGCCTCCAATCATCATGAAACTCTGAGATTAAAAAAGTGAACATGGATAGTTAGTGGCCATAGTGAAGAAATGTCCAGCTTTACAGAGCTGCCAAGTGGAGTCTACCCAATTGTATAGATCTGGACAAACAGAAGCAGGGATTGTACCATTAGGCTCCCTAACACTCTAACTACATTCAAACAGAGGAAAAGCCCAACAGTCTGAACTGGATTGTTATTTGGGAGGGGCATAACACTGGAGCAGATCAAAATCGGTCTGAGGCAGCGACAAGCAATGGCGTCTCCCTGCCACCCAGTCTGCCTGCTGCCCGCTGTGGCTCACCACACTAAAACAGGGGAAGTGGACTGTTTGGACTTTCAACGCCGCCTTTAACATGAGTCTCTTTTTTCCTATAAGGGCTTTCTGGTGAGTCTTCTGCCTATACTGGTGTTCAGAATGTGACTGTATGAATTCCCAAGTATTGCATCACATTTTGTATGCATTTTTCTTTATCTTTATCTTTATCATTTGGTCTTTTAAATCCTCTATTTACTTTGCTTTCCCCATATCTTGCTTTGAAGCACTTATCTGCTTTTTGACAGTCACATAAATTTGACCCCCCTCCTCCCCACTGTCTCCATGAATCGCTCTTTATGAATCCTGTTATCTCAGTTTCTCCATCCGTCTGTCTCGCCACCGTCCTTCCCTCTCTCTTCTCCCTCCAGGGCCACCCGCTAATCACTTTTGTACTTTTCTTATGGCCCATGCAAAGCAGGCAAGCTCTTGAGTAGGCACAAATGCAGTGGGGGGTCCAGCAGTCATACATGGGAATTTCTGGCTCCCACTGTGATTCTGGTGGCGGCAGGGGGCATATTCAACATGACTTCCCTGCCAGGAAACACTGAACAGAATTTGGATAAAAATCTCAGAGTACAGAAAAAACTTTGGATTTAATTGTTTTCCTAGTCACTTTTGTACTTGTCTAGACTAGATAGACTTTGTAAATAAACTGGTAAGCTTACATCAGGAAAGACTCCAAAGGACTAATGGCGTCCAAGATAAGATGTCACATATAGTTTCAGAACTGGAGCCACAACCAAGGAAGTGAATCTGATAAAAGATCTCCCTAATGGAAGTCATAGAGGTTTAAGAAAATGTGTGTGTCGCCAAGTGACTGCGTGGATTTAAAACGGCAGCATGAAAATTATATAAACTCTGAACCAAATATTGGTGTTAGAGTTTGCTGTTTTAAAATCTATTTCAACTCAAGAAAGACTGAGGTCAGCTACCATACATTTGAAGATTCAAACTGTCATGAATCTTTATCATGAATGCAATAGAAAATTAAATAGAACACAGCAGGCAAAACTATAAGGCATTTTCTTTCAAGAACTAGAAGGATTAAAGCAGCTGAGGTCCACACTCAACATTTTAATGAAGTGACTGAAGTTAGCACAAACAATTTCCATGTAGAACAACTAAAGGGGATTTAGACGAGTTGTATAGTCACAGGAGGACAAAGATAAAGCCACAGTCTGGAGCGTGTAGGGCCTCAGAAAGAACCACCACCATTTTAAACACAATTAACCTCACGGGGAGCCGGCGTGCTGGAACTAAGGCTGCTCTGATCCTTTTCTCGAGTCTGGAGATTACAAGCTGGTAAACAATAAAGACAAGCATTGGTGAGCACTGACATGTAGTGAATGTTAACAATCACAACACAGGTGCCACTAGTATGGCTTTTTCAAGTATTCTAAAACGGCTCTATCGACAAGAATAATGACAACTATACATTAATGATAATTATACATTAAATGACAACTATATATTAAAATACATTTTAAAAAGTTTAAAAAAAAGTTTAAAAAAAAAAAAAAAAAAAGGACAATATGGTTTCCAACAAAATGTAATATTTCATTTCAGATTCTTGTCTTTATGACAAAATATTTATCAGATTTCAGCTCAGTTCAATTATATCCTGACACAGTATCCAAATAGGATTTAAAGTATTTTATTTATGGTGATTGAAGAATTAAGAGAAATGAAACTGAGCTCAGATTTGAATAAAGATGTTTTAGATCTTCTGTGGCTATGGGAACCATCTCGCTTAGAAAAACTATCACAGTGACATCATCAATTTAAAGACTGTTCAAGCACCGGCATTACAGGTCTTATAGGTCTGAACCACACTGTAAGTCATGCAGCCAGGGGGCTGCATAAAGAGGGTGCATAAAAGCTTGACAGCACATTGCAAAGATGAGTTCAGATCACCTAAGATAAGCACATCAGTAGATAAAATGTATGATTGTAAAATAGCACTAAATGAATATTAATGAGAGCAGGGTAAGATGTGAGGACAAGCAGTTAAAAGTGTATCATGTATTATGTTATTATACTTCTTGTTGTAATTAGCTTTTTCTTATTTGTCCAGGTGCCAACACCATAAATGCAAATAAAGAATGTTCAGATAAAACCAGTTTCAACAATATTAAGACAGCCTGTTATGGGTTAAGGGCATAGTGGGATCAGTAGAGTGCTCTGACTGGACCATATACTGGAATATGTTACACAATGCATTTTAAAACAAATATTCAGTATTCTGTAACTACATGCATTTTCAAGTATTATTCCCAGCACTGATTATAGCTGTTGGTAACAAGCACACACTTTCTGGTTTGTTTACCTTGCTGAAAAAGCATACTTACTTTTAAATATTTAGTCACAATATAGAAATACAGCTTCCAAATGAATATTAACGGCATGAAAATGAAAGTGGCAAGACCTCAGTAGACACCATATAACTTTTTTTTTCTTTTAAACAATATTGTAGGAGCTTATGTAAACATCATCGGAATGCTGTCTGAGAATATGCACACAATTTAACCATGGGCCCTGACAGAAACCTCTGAGAAGAGGAAAAAATAAATAAATTATTGAGTAAATGATAGCATATGTGGGACTGTGTGTCACACAGGCAATTAAGACTGAGCTAAACAGCTCCTTAAACTCAGCAGCAGTGAGAACAGTGAGACTGATCCCCTGTGGAGGCCAGCTACACAAGGTCAACTTTCAGCAGGTCCGCAGTGGGGCCAAAAGCTACCCCGCATCCACACCAGCACCCTGCAGAGAGCCTGTTTGGAACTGGTGGCAAGAATGTAATTTTTCATATAGCAAAATAGTGTTGAGGCCACAGAAGTAAAATGCCCTAGCATCTGATTTGTAATACCTCCATCAGATTCAGTACTCACCTTGGGTCACTTCACTATATATCACGACCACACTATCACTATCCACTGTTGTTTATCACTACCACTGAAACAATATATTTCAACACTGTAATATATTATTTCAGGTATATTATTCTGTACCTGCTCTGCTATTTTATTCATGTTGCATACTTATTTAAATATACAGTACTTTGGACCATTGCCTATTCAAAGATAAAAGATAAAGTTATTAATTGCTATGGTAACATTCCCATCCATCCCATTCCCATTCCATCGTTCATCACTCTGTAGTCTGAAACCCATGCATGTGCATCTGTGAGCTACAATACAGTGTTATTCTTGTTTTCATCACAATCAAAGCAGGCGTGTAGTCCACTCAGTTCTGTTTTATACATGTTGATCTTCATTTGGCACTGATGTCTTTAGAGATACTAATTTATGTACTGTATGTGAAACTTCTAGTTTTTAAGTTCATTACAAGTTTGAGGTGCAATCCCTCAGTTTCTGCAGTTTTGTGGTAAATATCATTATCCATATTTTTTATGCATTATCTGAACCTCTACTACAAGCCTATTAACCTTCTTTTGGATGGACTGCTAAAATAGTCTGATTGCCATCACTAAGAGATAAAGCAAATATTGAGATATTCATTTTTGTCAATACCACTGACCCCTAGAGTGATACTTGAGGTATTGAGGAAAATACTGGACAATTGTTTTACTAATTGACAGCTCTGTGGTTGTTCAGGCCACCCCTAATGCCACATGGCTGGAGGGAAGTCAGGCCTTGGCAGCTCAAAGCAGCCCAGAGCTGGTCGGAGTGTGCGGCTGGATTATGGCCGCGAGGCACTGGGAGGGAATCCACTCCCCCTTTTCCTTGTAGGGATTACAAGTCTGAATTTGATATGGACAGCCACAGGCAGTGTGAAAAGAGGGGTGGAGGGCCCTGACAGAGAAGAGATAGATGACAAAAATAAAAATAAAAAATCTATGAAGGACTCAAACCTCATATTAAGTGTTTAAGAGTTACACCAATTCTGTACTTCTAGTTCACACAAATAAGGCAGTAGTATACTGTTTAGTGAGACAGCATTGTAGGTGTTATTCGTGGCAATTTGTATTTGGTCTGTACTGAGATGAAATGGATTTTCAAGGTCAAAACACAGACAAGTAAAGTTCTTGTATACAATTCACTATAGGTCTATTTGCATGAAAACATTTTTCTTTTTAGTCAATTTTAATGAAGTGTTAGATTGCTTATATATATTTCCCAACCCATTTTGCTTTGTGAGACGTCCATATCATAAACATGATTCAGCTGCTGGGCTCAAGTTTAAATTTTAATTTAAAAAATCTAAAATCCTTACCTGTAGACCTTCCAATGACACATAACAAGAGGGCCATCACTGCTATGTGGAAATCCATCTTTGCAGAAAGTACGTTGTCAGTGCTGGCTGAAGTTGGTGAGTGAAGATACTCAGGGAGTGATTGAAGTGTCCTTTGTCAGACAACAGAGTAGAAATAACTGTGGAGGAGATGGAGCACATCATTTTATATCTGGTAAGGCTGAAAATGTCACGTAAGGACAAGGTAACAATCACTGGAAAGATGTGTGTTACTTATATAGCCTAAATATTCAATATCTTTCCACTCATCCAAGAATGTCAAAAAAGCCATATTAAATTAGGCGAACGGAAGAAAAATGAAGTTCCGCTAGTATTCAAGCCGCCGATGATTTAAATAAAACACAATATGTTGCCCATTTGGACACTAAAGGATGATACATGCCGTTCCATAACACTATTGTGCGTCTTCCGGGCGCACAATAGAAATCTGAACCCTGAGGTTATCGGGTGGTCACTTCTGGTCAACTGTCCAGGAAGCAGAACTGCAACCACGGCTTTCTTTAAATAAAATCACGAATCATCAGATAAAGATGCAAACACGATGTATGAGACATACGGGAAAGTAAGAACCCGTGCAAACGTGACATTGCAACGTATTCGTTTCACTTTTACCAATATATGGCTTAAAAAGATGCGTAATTAACATTTAGCGCGCACTTGGGTATATAGATAGCAATTTACATGAACTAATATAAAAAAATGTATAAATACATAGTCTAAAATTTGGTATAAAAGTGGATGTACGTTTATGCTACTGAATGTGACATTTGATAGTTTTACGTCGAGAAAGAAAAACAAATCGAAAGGATCATATCAAATCATCAATTAATCGGAGCTTTAATTAAAAGATAAGAAAGTAAAATATTGCCTACCTATTTCTGAATTAAGTGGCTGAGTTGAGTCGGGGAGACTTGTAATCCAGAGCAAGAATGTGGCTACCTTCAATCGTGTAGCCCTTTCAGAACTTTTCCGAAAGTTTTTGTGCTCACTGGGCGGTTCATAGATGACTGTAGGGCCCCGCCCACTGCTGTTTCCAATGAAGTCTGAACTGTGTAGTTTAACCATGGATCTATTAAAATAACCCTCATAGTTTAAGTCTAGCCCAGTGTGTTCAAACTAGGGTCCAGGGGTCGAATGTGAATGAATTTTGTTCACTGCAAATTTAAGTATTTCTACAACTATAACCTATAACCTAAATAACATCACATTGTACAGTTATTTCAAATCTAAAATCAAAGATATACTTTTACTCACGTTTATAGACAATTTCTAAATATGTCTGTTACATGTAGAACACATTAATAAGACTAAAGCAGAGGTGGCCAAATATGTTTTCACTGTAAAGGTACAGTGGCTCTGTCAAACCTATGTAAAATGCATTTATCGGAAAGGCCCTGCAACTGTATTGACCACCAGTCTGCAGCCTTTCACTACAAATGTTTCCACATGGGCCTGAGTGGAAAAGGTTTGGCCACCTCTGCTCTAGTCTTATTAATATGTTGTACATGTAACAGACACATTTAGATATTGTCTGTGGATGTGGTCAGTACATCTTGGTTCATCAGAAAATTATGGGGAAAAAAAAAAAATAATTTATGAAAAATTTCACTTCCTTTTTACTGTTTTTGCACTATATGGGCCATTACTTTGTTAGACACCATTAAAGACTGACTTGAACAACTGATGTTTTCAGACTATAGGTATAGGTTTTATTTTTATTCTGATATATAAAATGTCTGTGAAATAAAAAAAATAAAAAAAAAAAAACGTTCTGTATTCTGCTCTGCACTCATGTTATAAGAATACATATAATATTTTAACCATAAAGAAAACTTGCTTTTAACTTTCATACAAACATTTTTGCATTGGAAAATGAGAGTCAAAAAGTAAGTAAAAGGTGGAGACACTTGGTGTTACATTATTAAATGTTTAAATATATGTTTTATTTGTATTATTTCATTTCCTTTTGGTCCTAACCAGTAAACCAATCTACAAGTCAATAAGACTCTCTAATGCTTCATTATGGGAACACTGTGTCCTCTAATTGAAATGTCATACTCATGAAAACGGAGAAACCACATGTATTTTTTCCCATTGTCGTTCCGATTAATATGATCTCTGATTAAACATTCCCAGGAGCATGAGTATCCCTTAGAGAAACACTATTCATAGAACTGTACCTTTTACTTGCCCTGCAATGAAAGGGGAAAATGTCTGGCACACACTAGACACAACATCCTTTCTGAGCTGAACAGACTTTGAGGAGTCATCATCGCAACAAATCAAATATGTCTCCACAATACAAACACACGCACATGCAGAGAATGAATACTAGAAAAAATGTTTGCTAATGTGACAAGATGACTTTAACAGCGTCAGCAATCACTTTTGGCCAATCAAAAAGGTACATACTTACTTTTTACACAATCAAACACTTGAAGTGAAATGGGTGGATATCCCACAGTGCAGAAGTATGATTGCCCACAAGTGTTTCAGGACTAATTGTGCTACTTGTTAAATCAGACCAATTCAGACCAATGGTGCTTTAACAACACTCAGGTCACGTTTGGTTATGTTAAGTGGGTAACCTGCCACTGACCTCCTGGCAGTACAAACAAAAGAGTGGGAGAAAGTAAAATTGCTACTTGAGTATAACTATTGAATTGTAAAATAGAAATACAAAGTGCCTATATAGTCTACTTATACCACAATTCTACTACTTATAATAGTGTCAATACTTTGCAAGGCAACTACACAAGCTATTACACAATTAGAAATAATCTGTGTTTGAGTGAAAGTCCAATAAATGATGAAGGAAGTATGATAAATGAATGGGAAACAAAATTGTGTTATGTGTATATCTCTTCCATTACATCTGATTCCCTACACTGACTGTTATCTAACGTATCTACTTATACTAGTACAGTATAGTATATTTATTCCTACCACCACTGCAGTCTCTACTACTAGCAGTTGTACTGTGGTACTATTATCAACATCAGTTATTGTCCATCTGTCACTCCACTCTGTGAGGAAATGTTGTCAAAGACTGAGCTGGAGATGATCACACATGTTTTGATCTCTTCTCATCTCTTTAGTATTGCAACTCATTTTTAACTTGTTTTAATAAGGCGTCTCTTCAAAGACTTCAGCTTGTGCAAAACTGCTGCAATGATTTTAACAGGAACCCCCAAAACAGACCACATCATCCCATTTACCAGTAAAATAAATCATTTATTTTAAACTTTGTGTTCTCATTTTTCGTGCACTGAATGAACCAGCTCCACAGTACATTGCTGACTTGCTGTGCCCTTACTCCTTTGGCTGTTCTCTCTGGTCCTCTGGTCAGAGCCTTCTCATTTTTGTCTGTGAAAAGCGCTACATAAATAAAATTTACTTACTAACTTACTATCAATTGCAGTTCTTCTATGACTCACTTTTAACTATACTATAGGTACTTACCACTATGGCACTGCATAAGGCCTCCATTGTTTGCCTATATAAATTATTCAGACAACTGTTAGATAGGCTTTGAGGAAAGGCACATAATGTTACTTCCACCTCTTTACAATACTAAGTAGGGGCATTCCATTTACTTCCATTATTCCCCTGGAAATGTTGGTGTTTGACATCAATTACACTTAAGTCCATCAGTTCCTTTCAACTTGGACATAAACTGGGTGACACAACACTGTACACAGTAGCATTACCCTGGTTTGGACTGGGTTCCCTCTCCCTCCGCCCCTGAGCAGTGCTTCAATAACAGGAAACAATCGGCCATCGTCTGTCATCGCCGCTTGACGTTGGTTCCCGCTCGGTGCCACCCGGTCTCTGCTGTGCCAGCCGGTCAGCCTGCCACAGTCTGCACAGGAGGAGAGAGGCTCACTAAAGTCTATGTGCCAGCTGACCAGTTTCCTTATTGTCCTCTGAGGGGGATCTGACGCACTCCCCCACAACTGCTAATATCTGGGACTGATACAAAGTGAACAGAGGTCAAGTAGCTGAGAAGGCTGTGCCAATGAATACTGTCAACTGCTTTTTAGTGGAGTTTATATATTATAAGCAATAATTGTTAATTGTTTATTTCTTTTAATCAGGTGTTGTAAAGGTATTATTCTGCTCTAAATGCTAGAGAAGCGTGTAGTGGCAGTGTAGTAGTGACAGTAAAAGGAATGCTATGAGTTACTCTGCTTTATATTGTAACATATACATTTCGTATTTCTACTAGCACTTCAACGTATTATTTCATTTAATGATGTAGGCTACCCAATGATTGTGGCACAAGTAAGTTAATATTATAGTTTTCATCTGTTCCACTAGAGGGTGCTAATCGCAACTATAAGGCTGTGAAATCCAAACAGTACAGACAATATTTTCAGGTTACAGACTACTTTGACTTTGTTGTAGTTTAAATGTTGCAGTCTACAAAGTTACACAAAAATCATAATGCTTGAAATATGTTTAGCCCTGTGTGTGTGGGTTGTTTTTTTTTTGCTATAAGATCCCTCTGAGCTGACATGGTTATGTATATCTTTGTAATGAGGTAGGCCATTGGTTGTTTATTGTATGTTTAATTACATTAAACTCTATAGGACTTTGTGTAGTTTCCTGTTATTCTCCTGCATTTGCTTTACGTGATTACCACCACCACCACATTCTTTCTGTGTTTCTACCTTTAAATGGACCGAGTTGCATTCTTCCCTCCATTCGTTGCAGTTAGTGGACTCCTCAATGACTCTGGACGTGCCTGCAGATGCCTTTACTTGATTGACTTTCCACTGGCCACAATCGGGGGCTCTTCAGAAGCCCTTTCCTCTTCCTCCTAGCCACAGCACGCGGTCAGGATTAGAGCGTTCCTCCGGGGATAGTCCGGATACCTGCACCGTGTTTGCTTGGCCAGCTGCACTGTGTATGTGTCAAAGGAAGATCTGTTGGTCATCTTTGATTCAAAAGAAAGGTTATGAAAACACGAGCGAGGCGGCACGTCCTGCATCCTGTTGTGTCTGCTGGATAGAGCATGTCAACCTTGTTTTTCATCAGTCGTTATTTCCTTCAATGTGTTTGGAAGGTATGCGTGCATGAATGATCTTTGGCATATAAAACAACAACATCTGCTTTTTATTATATGCTTTGTACATGTGGCTACATACTTTTACACGTGTCCACCCTCAATACACGAATTACTGAGGAAAATGCCTTATCAGTCTTATGTATATGATATAAGATCTGTGCCTTGGTTCAAGAAACAAAAAAATAAAAAATAAATGTGCAAGTACGTATTATAAAGTTACATTATTATGATTTCCTGAATCATTATACCTTTATAAATAGATTAGTTTAGTTAATTATTATTAACATTAAACATTTACATGTAAAATAGTAACAAAATAATTGTAATTTACTGATGTTTGGTTGCTTAATTCACTTTTAGCTGTGGATCAGTGTTTTACAGTATATGGGTCAATACTTTGATAACATTAAAGGCTGATTTGAACTGACAAAATATAATCTTCTGTAACTATATATTATGTTTTTAAAGATGTCTGCAAAATGATGCAAATCAATTGCTGTTGTTGAAGTTGCATGTTGTACATGCTTGCCAAGGAGCAGATTTAAGGCATGTTACATCAAAATTAGAATAATCTTAAAGTAACATATAAAAACACCAATAACCAGACATGTTTTCTCCAGTTATGCTGTTTTACTACAGTGCATCAATAGCCTTGGAGACTTCAGCAAAGACTTCATCGACTGGTAGCTCGGAGTTAATCTAGAAAAGAGAGAATATCAAATTTGTAAATGCAATTTGTAATTGAAATAAATACATAGTGAGTAAAAATATATATTTAATTTCATCTGTCTGCTGATTGGTTAAAACATCAATAATATAAAGAAAGAAAGAAAATTGAGTAATGAGTAGCTGAAGCATCTACCCATGGCATACTGGTACTGGCTATTTTAGGAGTAACGAAAAAGAACAATCTATAATACACATAAGATAAAAGACATACATTATACATTTTTAAAGAGGTGGATGGATTTGAAGGGAAGAATGGTACAAGACTGAGTACTGAGTGTAAATTTAAAATAAATACCTAACATGTAATTGAATTTTAATCTGTTTTTAAAAATACAACACAAAAATTGTCAAAAATAAAACGGCGACAGTGTAGTTGTTTAGAGACATGCATAAATATGAATAGTAATTGTGTATTTAATTGCAGCTTCGCTCACTTTTCTCACAATGCCTCTGTTTTCATAGAAGGCAATAACTGGCTCAGTTGCTTTGTAGTACAAGTCCAGGCGCTTCTTGATGGTCTCCTCGTTGTCATCAGAACGGCCACTGGTCTCACCGCGCTTCAGCAGTCTCTTGACCATGGTCTCGGCTTTAGCATCGACATACAACAGCAGGCAGGGTTTACCGATCTGTGGTCAAACAATATTAACATCATTGTATGGATTGTATACTTAAGTTACAAACAGATCAATGTGTCAACTAATACCTTCTTCTCAAACTCCTCGCCCTGTTTCACCTCACGGGGATACCCATCAATAAGGAAGCCCTTAGAGACATCAGCCTTAGCAATCATAGCGTCTTTAATCATGTCCAAGACTGTGTCCTGGAAGAGTAAACAAGAGATTATGTTACTAATTGTTTGTGGTTTTCATAAAACAGCAAGTTTGGTGGTTAAATGTTGCCTTATGATTGAGGAGGGTGAGTAAGGTGGTGGTGGCACAACACAAGGCTGATGTTTTTTTTGTTGTTTAAGTAAATAGTTATCCATGTCCATGCAGTTGTCATTAAATCAGACAAACAAACAGACTCCATACAGATATTGTTGTTTGTGTAAAAAGCCATTTTGTTTTTTCCCATTTTATGAAAATGAAAATGTCTTTATCTCTTACCAGGGGCACCAGCTCTCCTCTCTGCATGATGGCCTGGAGGTTCTTTCCCCTCTCAGATCCAGAGGACACCTCTGCACGGAGCAGGTCTCCAGATGACAGGTGGGTGTAGCCGTACTTTGCTACCACCTTCTCACACTGGGTGCCCTTTCCAGAACCGGGGCCACCTATAACAATACAAATCAGTGTATGATATATGAGGCTAGATAAAAGCAGTTAATCAAAATATACTCAAATATCTCAAGTAAATCATCAGGAAAGTACTCACCCACGACAAAGATGATCTTAGCATCTTTAATTTTGTCTAAAAAACATTATAGTCAGGTTAGTGAACAGTTATCTAGCACTTCCATGACAAAAACAAATTATAGATTGTAGACTTATACAAAAGTGTCAAACCTCTGGATGGACTCCTACATTTTTTAGAACATACAAAACCCATGTTGGGTTAAATAGGCTTAGACACTGGCTCAACTTTACACTGACTGATAGCTTTGTTAGCCAAGTTATATGTTTTGCTTTAACTGTGTGTTGTTATGACAACTGTTGCTGCACGAAATTTTTCAGTTGTCATCATTTGAGCTGTGGTTAATATCCAGCTCAGAGCAAGCAAAGAAGAAACTTAAATTTGCTAGATTAAAACTAGAAATAAAGCAAAATGGTTTCAGTGTTTCAGGTTCCGCTCTCTGACTTTTTCCAGCAGTGAGTAATATATAATAGATAAAAAGGATATATAAAGAAAATATCTATATTTAAAAGTCAATCCATCTTGAGGGCAACTGTCAAACATGATATAGCCAAGCATGTAGGTGAGATTACATAATCTCAACAGTCTGTTAATTAATCAGTCTGTTAAATTTGACGTGTTATAATGGTTTGGGTGTAATATAAAATCTACCACAAGAGGGGAGTAAATGTTAATAAATTGCATTGCAAGGGACTTCTAGTAGCCTATATTCACAAGTTCATGAGAACAATCAACCACGTACAATAGAAAATTAAAACAATTACCTGCCATTGTCTTGGATTAGAAGAGTTTCACTAAAACATAAAAGAAAAAAATAATAATTTCTCAATTTACACCTACTGTGACATTTCACCAGATGACTGGGTGTAATTATCTGATTGAATTAATATGAACAAAAGGTACAGAGATTCTTAATGCTGTGGATCTTAAACATTGTTTGAGCTGAAGCAATGTCAATTTAATGATATTTTCATAAAAAACAAGCACAAATAAAGAAGAACTTGGAATGATGCTTTTAGTAACATGCGTAAAGTGATAGCTAAGAAAGCATGCTTGCTTTGGTCATGTGACTCAGGCCATAAGTTCTGTTTGGGAACTGACTTTAAATAATCTCACCTGCTGAGTCAGCATGTTAGAATAAAATTTGGTACAACAAAAAACAAAAAGAGAAATGTTAAAATATTTACAAACATCTTATCTTGTAAAAAAAAAAAAAAAAAGGGAAAAGGAAAGTTTTATCTTTGCAAGTCAAGAATAAAACGTTTTCTTATGCCCAGAACAAATGTATTAATAAGTTATGGTGTGCATATTAGTGTATTTTAAGCAGTCAAAGACCTGAAGCTGACCTTGTGATAAGGGTATTGTGTGGTCACTTGTGTGTATGTGATATAGAAATATTCTGCTCCTGTATGCACATGATAAAACTGTAGGAAAACTGTGTTGTAGTAATATCACGTTTTAGATGTGTGTTGACCATGTATTTCACAAGCAGAAGGAAAACTTAAATTGCTCTTAAGATGTTCTCCAATTCAATATTTTTGGGATAGGGTTAGCAAAAAGCAGTGCTGTCCAGGTATCTTGTGTCATCAGTCCCCACTAGTTAGACCCCACAGAAGTAGATGTCACTGGAGTCAGCACTGATCTTTAGGAATATGACCCAGTCCTACTATGGTGCTACACCAGTGTCTGGCAGAGGTGAAGTGTAACCAAATACACATTCACTCCCAGTGAAGTAAAAGAAATCTATGTTTTTTCTAATGTTTGTGTTTGCTTATACACAAGTTCTTCTTGTTATTTGTAATTAAAATACTTATCTGTTATATTAATTGGATTCTATATCTTGAAATGATATATATAGAAATTCATATCCTGTTCAACTGTAAATGTCAGAACCCCTCTCTCCTGTCAGACGCCCATGTCTAATGTCAGTTTTTAAAAGACGGGAGCTAAAAAAAGACACCATTACTCTGCAGCTGTCATGGGATAGCATAGCCGCCATTCTGAAAAGCATTTGAGCCTAAACCCCAACTCTGCTCCAGAAAGTAACACTGTGCTAAAATAAATTATCCTATTGAATACCATTGTTCAGTAATGCCAGTGTCCTGTCCCTTTAAGAGGGAACAAGGAACCCCTTGATGTCAGAGCACTGAGCTATTCCATGTTGTGGAACGATGGTGTATGATAGTGAGTGCCAGTGTCACTACTTATCTGATTGATTTGAAGTAGATCTATTGCTACAGTACATCATTACTCCATATTTAGCATATTGTCCATATGTATAGCTTGCATTACATGTAAACCAACAGTGTAAAACAGCTCTGTAGCTGTATAGTAATGGCTTTCAGGTTAAAAAAGGAGAAGGATCATGTGTGCTTCTTATTTTGACAGCATGTTGTTACCAATGTTAAACAGGGAGAAGTCATCAAACCACTGACGGTTAAAATATTATGCAAGGCTGATCAGTGTGGGCCACAGTGCCTGCCCTTACAGAACACAAATGCCAAGAGTTACAACTGAGTGAATTCACATGACAGTTGGATCATTACATTTTCATTCTCAGAATCCATCATATTATCTAGCCCTGCCCCCTTCTCTCATCCGGCTCTTCCCCCGAGCATCTCACCACCTCCTGCTGCTCTACACTGCAGAGGCACTATGGAGCCTTTGTCCTCTGTACTGACCTCTCTTTTGCAGTGGCTCTGGATCCCAGTGCGAGGGGCTGCTGTCCCTGACTCCCCGTGAGTGTCTGCACAGTTCCTGGTGAACGGCAGCCCTCCCTCCCCCTTGTAAGCCTTTATATAGCTCCACTGAGCCTGCTCAGGCTGCAATGCATTCTGGGAAAAGAGAACAGAGAGGGGTGAGGGCTGAGGAGAGCTGAAGATAGACGAGGGAAGTAAATTATGTAACAAGATGCAGGGAGATGGTTTGTGACTGAGTGGTGAGGTAATATTAATATAATATTACTATTGATCATATGCATGCACTATAATGCTATATTATTTACCAATTTTCTTACCTTTGCAATGCAATGCTCTCCCAAAATGTCCTAATGACAAATATGAGATGTGATAACTAATGACAGTAGAACTATCAACCAAAAATTTAAGGGTTTTTGCAAGGAGGAAATAAACAAAGCCTTTTGAAGTAATCCAAATTTACCACTAGATGTCTCCAAACCAGCCACATTTCATTTTTATTTATGAAAAAAAAAAACGCAAAAGCAAACCCAGTATGCCCTATTGGAGGACATGATGCAGAGTAATTTCTTACATTTCTAACATCCTTAAACAAAGGAAGTTTTCAGTAAAAGATCTGTTTTTACAAAGGCAAAGTGGTAACCATCAGAAACATTTTATTAAAAGCATGAGTGGACATGTATGTCCAAAACTGAAACATAAATACAAAATATTTTATATACATATATGTACAATTTATGGCAGTGAAAAGTCTGGAAAGCTAATCATGTTATAAAACAGAAACTAAAATGAAATGTGGAAATCATGGTTCTGATCTTGAGTTTAAATTTTGAGTCAAATACAATGCTGAGTATGACTTTATGTTCAGTATATTTAATTCATAAGTTGCAAAAAAAACAAAAAAAAACAAATACCTGATAGTTAAGTACTTAAATTTTTACCACAAGGCGGCAGCACACAGCAAAACGATCCCATAAAAGATGTACAGCAAAAATATAACTGATCAGTTTAACTATCAGATAGTGGGCTTCTTAGTGCCTTACTAGATGTAGGAATGTATTTTGAATAACCAAAATAATGGATATCATATTTTTGACAACCAAGCTAAACAAATATGTGTAACACTGTTAGTGTGTCAAAGTATCTAAAAAGCATAAAAATAGAAAAAAATCAAACATAACTATTTTTGTCTTTATTACTACCGTATTTATGTCCTGCACATTAGTAAATAAATAACTGAATTCCCAAGAGTATTCACATTTATTTTAAAAGGGACACACAAGCTTCAATGGTATGGTACCTATGCATAAAATTATTAAGGCGTTGTGTTGAGTTCAGTTAGTTTGTAAAATTGTATTCAGTACATTTATGATTTGGTCAAATGGTCCTTCTTCATTTCTACACATTTTATATCAATTTAATGCAAACAGAAAAGTTTATAGCTTACTTAAGTATTATTTAATACACATGAATTTTTTTCTATCCACTGTTGGCCCCTTTGACTGTGTTTCTATTTTTTTTTTTTTTTTTTTTAACCACATTCAGCACCATGTCCTAGCTGGAAACACCTCCTGGTGGCTTAGGCTCTGCAGAGTCTGAGTCGTCCTGCTCCTCTGATGGCAGGTGGACACGCTGCTCATCCATACGTTTGGCTTGCACCCTCTGGATCAGACTGAAGAAGTCCTCATCAGGTACTGTGGGTGCATGGGGGCCCCCTTCTGGTGGGGAACAACGCTGGTCATCTATCCTTGATGACTGGGATTTGGCAGATAAACAAAATTAAAATAATGGACAATGGCAGAGAAACATCATTTCATCTTTGTAACTTACTTGGCACTTAATAAGCATGTTGAAAAAGTCATCACTGGGCTCTTGGTGGTCTCCTTCACCCACTAAGTGACCCAGATTGTTCTGAGTAATCCTCAAGCCTGGAAGGTTCCCAACATTGACCCTCTGATCATCCAGACGACGACTTTGGGAGCTTTCAATCAAATCAAACAGCTCCTCAGTCTGGGGCGATGTGGTAATTGCAGGATCTAGAAAAAAAGAACAACAGTTGTTCTCAAATGTCAAGAAATGTCAAGCACAAATATATAGACTAACCTAACATCTCATTGAGAGAAGGCATCGAACCAGAACTGTCTCTGTTGTCGCCGTTTTCTGGATTATCTAAATTGCAGCGCTGGTCATCCATACGACTGCTCTGGAACTTACTAAGGAGGTCAAAGAAGCAGTCTTCATCGGAGGGGTCGCGTCCCAATTTCTGCAGAAAAATGAAAGTATAAATGCAAAATAACATTTCCTGGACATGCATGGATTTAATTCTGAACATTCCTAGTGACTGAATACATTAGACTAGACATAAGAGGAGCACCTTTATAATCTGATTAAATCATGATGAGCACTCTTGATGAGTCCACATTACCCTAGTTACAGAAGGTGGAATGATATTATAAAGGTGGTATAAAAATAAACTGCCCATTAACATTTGAGGGCACTGGCCCGCATGGGATAACAGATGTAACAAGAAAGCGCACTGGCAGGCATTTCATATATTAGGTGTGGAATATACATAATATGTTTTGTGGTTAAAATTGAATTTCTCAACAATACACAATCCTTACGTTTTCGAAAAGTACAATTTATTTTGTTCCCCACCTAACCCAAACACACCGCCAAGAATAAATGATTATACTTTATGACCAGTTTGACAAAATGCAATGCAAATACAATGGCTGCAACGCACATGTGGAATTTATTACAGCTGACCTGCACAACACAAATATTGTGTCAATTAAATCAATCCCGACCCTAAGATCGTTATTATAAATGCATACATGACAAACATGAAAACATAATCTAAAATTTAACTGAAATTGTATACTCTGGAGAAACTGTCAGTTATTCACTAGTATTCACACAAAACAAAAACAAATTCCAAGCATTTATGCATATACAAATAAGCAAAAACTAGGGTCAAACTAATATCGTCAAAAAATCATCAACATTCATCCTTACATTCCAACTATTGCTTATGTGTTGTGTTTCCCTGGCAAAATAACTAGCAGCAACCATATCTGAAATGGCTCACATTTTCACCCACAGGTTATTCCAAATCAAGACATCAACTTTTAACACTCACTAGTGAACAGAGGTGTCTCTGTTCCTCACAACAGTATGTGAAGTAGGTCAGTGTCAGTGAGCAGCTGATTTTAGTCAGACATTTAACAATAATCTAAACAATCAATGATGCCTTTGTTAGCGTATTAATGCCACAAAGATTTTTGTCACGCAATCATCACGCAATTAGTAAAAAACAACAAAATTTAAAATTAGAGAGTTAAAGCATTTTAGAAATTTTGCAAAACATAAATGAATACATTTCTTACCGGCTACTATCTCATTTCTGCAAACGCCTGACTCAAAGCATCTTTTCCTCAACAATACATAACATGGTCTCTTGTAGAACAGTGTTCAATTCTCTCTTCTCTTCTGTCTCTGTTTTTCTTTTCATGTCTATCGTTCAGTGCTGCCTCCCCTTCCTCCTCCTCTTCCTCTACTCTCTCTTCCCATCCCTTGCTCTGCAGATCCCCAGCCAGCCATTTTTGTCCCGTTCACCCACTGTGGGAAAACAACTCATTATAGGAGGCAGAGGGGTGACTCTGAGGGGAGGGGCAGCGGAGCGCTCAGATCAAGGTCAAATTAGCAGAACAGGAGAACAGAAGAGCAAAAAGTAAAGCTCATGTAGGGTACAGTACAAGGACAGGTGATTTTTAGCATCCACCTTATTTAACTTACAAAGCAACTTTTAAGCTGCAGAGGTTATAGTTTTATAAATGTACACAAATTCAACCTACCTTACCAATGTATGCAAATGTGGTTACAGGAAAATGCTCTGAAATATGCTTTTTGTTCAAAATAAACACAAAAAATAAACTGATAACTTTAGTGATTGAACTTAGTAAAAACAAAATGATTAGTTTACGTGAATAGTTTATACTGTAGTTAACATCTTACAAAACAGTGACATGTATTCATAAGAATACATTCTTTGACTTGCAGCAATAGTGCCCTGTGACCTTGGCCTCTTGGCTGTCCTCACTTCACTTCCAGAGCTATTGGCCAATTAATCAAGTAAGCCACAGTATAACAAGCCAGTAAAAAGAATGTTTGATGACAAATGCAGAGCAAGAATGCACAAAGTTGTGTGAATGTGAATGTGCCTGGTATAGGTGAACTGGTATATTTAAATCTTATGCAATATGCAAAATATACAAAACAAATTTGGTTTATAGAGGATCTGGCTGAGCTGTACATGGTGAAATGTGAAGAATATGACATTTTGATTATGTCAAGAAGTTCAATAAATAAACTTAAATAAATGTAATTATAAATCAAATAAATTGAATATGAAAAAGAAACAGTAAATTAAAAACTGGGAATATCAGTTCCCTCACTGATTTTGTTTACCGAATTGTTTCTGACTAAAATCCATAGCAGCAGGGTTTGGAAAATATTTTCTTTTCTTCTACTAAACTTTTAATTATCAAAATTCGGAGTATTCTTTTTTAAGCATGTAACAGCATAGTGATCTAGATCAAGATATTTCTAACAAAACTAATACGTTTCTAAGCGCCCTGTTTATAGGAGACATTTTGAGGATCTTGGACTACTCAGAAGGTATAATATTTAGTTTTGAATAGTTTATTGCTTTGGCAACAGGGTCAATTTTTAATAATAATAATAATAATAATAATAATAATAATACATTTGATGTGATTCTTTTGGGAACTTTGTTATTAGTACAATAGTAAAACAATAAACTAAAAAAAAAAATCTCTTACAGTTTAAAAATAAGTTGAGAAGTATTTCTTACTGGCAGTGGAGGTGGGACTTGCACAGTGATGTCATCAGTTTCTACTGGAGAGTCCAGCCACAGTCGTTCATCGGAGGACTGACTGTCCGTGTAGCCTTTCCTTTTACCGGCCTGGGAGTGCTGACTTTTGGATCTCCTTGGTATGCTCTCTACATACTGGTTCTCTCCATTCTGCAGAAAAAATAACTTATTG